AATAGTCAATGGCTGCATATAATTTTTGCAGGAACTACATCACAATCATTAAAATGGCAACCTTAGAACTATTCTATGGCTAAAGAACAACAGTTAATATTCATGCATAGACACTATACACCACCACCTGCATGCTTTGTAACTTATTACATCTATATCAGTCATAGATTATGATTTCTAATTAGGTTGTTTGGGCATATCTAAATAAGTGATAAATTTTTATCTTTTTACCAAAAGCATGTGACAGAAAAGTAGAGCAGCTGATCCTGTGATGAAAAAAGATAAAAAGATTGGATATATTTTAAGGATATCAAACTTGGCACTTAAATTTGTAACATAGCAGGCATGAATCATTCTATGCAGCGGTTGTAGAATATTTGACATGTACCTATGACTCATGACGCCATACCTATCTAGTTTTACAATTTTTTTGATATTAACTTTAGATCAGATTTGAGATTATAGCACTCATTTGATAAGTGTATTTACTTGTCATTGATGGTGCTTCATAAATTGGACAAATACAAAAGAGGAGGAGAAAGCACGACTAGAAACACGACCAATCTTATATAAAGCTATTCATATCCACAAGGGGAACCGGGGGCTAGCTTTGTAAACCTTATTGTGCACTCGGGGAGGCTGATGCTAGGCCATGTATCTTGTGACTCACTTTGGCAATGCGCAATAACATAGTTTATGGCACATCCTCCTCTTTTTGAGTATTTAAAACATAACTCCATAAGCTGCAAGCATATCTTTCCGGAACCCTGCGAAAATAGAAATTTTAATAAACATGTCTACAATAAAGGATACATCTCTCTCCTTCTCAAAAATACATTTGGAGTGCATGGACCTTGATTTTATTCATCGAATGCACAATTTTTTGAATATATTTAAGGTCCAATCAAGGATTTAATTATTAGTTGAAAAATATGAACAGTTCTTTTTGCGAGAATTGCTCTCTTATCTTTCTTACAAAAGGGATACAGAGTATTTACAGATAGTTGATGAGAATCATGTTAGTATATAACGGTGTAAACCATTTGTACATTTAATCAAACATAGTTCTTCTTGAGAGAATTGCTCTCGTCTCTCTTACAAAATGGACACGTATTTATTGAGAGTTGATGCGAATTACCGTAGTATATAGCACCCTTTGTACATTTCATCAAACTTATCAATCAATAAAGATTTGTTGATTTTTCTTATCTTCACGCTCTGCCCTTTTGACAATCAAATTGATGACTATATGTAATTAAAAAGCATACAGAATTTACATATGTATTCGATCAAAATTTATGTTTTCAAATTTTTTTGGTATGCAATCAAACTGATGACAGTCAATGGGAATTACCTAAGTTTGCTTTCAAGTTCTTTTGGATTCTAAATGACACTTCTTAATTTTATTTTTTAATTTTTAATTTTTAATTCTGTCTTCTTTGGTGTTTTTTGGTTTCATGTTAATTTTTCTTATTATTATCATTTTCTGTTGGCAAAAGTTTAAGGTTGGAGTACTTTAATCTTCTATGGTTAAATATAACAGGAAAGTCTCCATATGATTTTGAATTGAAGTACCACTGTTAGCTTTTCATCGAAATTAACAGAAAGTGTATCACACACTATTTTTTAAAGTGTGTTACAACCATCTTCTCCAAACCTAAATATAGATTAAGATGTTAATTAAATTAAATTAAAATAAAATAAAAATATAATGAAGGTGATTTAAAATATAATTAATTAAAATATAAAATAAATAAGAAATAAAGATTAATCTAAAAAGAAATAAGGATTGATCTAAAATATAATTAAATTAAAATAAGATTAATGTGTTAAGAATTACAATAAATAATTAAAAATTTATGATTAATAGTGATCTAAATTGTAATTAAACTAATTTTTTTTTTTCCTTTGGCACATTGCATAATTTTTGCACATGGTTGAAGACCAACAATAATTGAAGCAAGAAGTGAATGCAGCAATGATCTAAAGTAGATGAATAAAAGAATGAAAATGTTAAGCCTCTGTGAATGTGCAAAGTTGAATTAAAATGCGTGAAAAGTGTATAAAATAAATGAATGTGTTTTGAAATGTGTAAAAAAACCTTGTGATTCTAACTTTTTTTTAGGCATTTTCCACCCCTTGACAGCCTAATGGGCAGTCATTAGCATGACCTATAAAAGAAATACCACTGCAAATTGAAATTATTTGAGCTTGTATGGCGATTGAAGCTAGGAGGAGGAAGAATTGTGTTTGTTGAACAATACGTGCAATCATGAGTTGGGTTAGTGCTTCACAAGTTTTCCCACATTAGGTATAGACAATGAATTTGGTTTCTTTATTTATCTTACCCATTTAAGCCATGTTAAGGAGATTTTCAAGGTCAATGAAGGTGCTCATCCAAACTTGGGGAGCATGTGAATAGGGCAATGAGCTATTAGAGCAAAGAATACATAATTGAATTTTTTGTAGGTCAGAGGGTCATGGCTCCCCTGAGCCACTTTCTAGGTCTGCCATTGTTTGAATAGTAAAGAAAGACCATTCATTTGATATTTGTAAGTGTTAGAAATGGTTTTATAACCATTAATTTTCTGGTAATTTTAAGCATTAATTTATGTAAGACTCAGAAATTATTTTTTGTGAGTCTGAGTGGTAACATGTTCCTTGCCGTGTGATGAACAAGATTATATACTCGGATGATCAAAACCATTTCCGCCTAAATGAGAAATTAATGTCAAAGTGAACCTCATAAACATTGAATATGTTTGGAGGGGTTCTTGTTAGTTAGCATAAATGTCTTGTCCCATATAGGAAACATAGAAGGATTTCTATGTGTTTATAACTTCTAAGTTGGACGCTTTGGGCCGGGCTCCAAGGGCGCCCAAGTTTTGTAATGAGAGGAATTATAGACTATTGTGGTTTAAACCCAAATAAACACACACATGCAGCCAGTGCCCGAGTGCAAGTTGGGTCAACACATTGCTAATATTTTAGCGCCAAAATTAATTGAAATTTTCAAATAATATTTTGCAGGAAAAATTTGAATTTTGAAATTTTGAATTCAAGTGTTCCGGTCACCTGTCTTCTCTAACCAGTCACGTCTCTTCGGTTGCAACTGTTCATCGCAGCTTTCTGCTATTCCGGAAGAGGCACTTCGCTACCTATATAAAGTAGTCCTCCATTCCAATTTCAATATCAAATTTTTTTCATCCCTTTACATTTTGTGTTTAGGTTTTTTAAGAGTTCATAAGCATCATCTAGTTTGTTATATAAACAGTATGTTGTGATACTACTATTTAGGGTGATTGTTGTATCTTGGAAACATAACGTCCATTGATTTTGAATACCATTGGAGGGGACGAATTTTTATCTCAAAGAAACAGTGTCTATACACTGGTCTCAATCACAAATTTCTATTTTGAGTTTTGATTTACCTAAAAGTTTGTAAGTTATTCACCACTGTATTTATTATTCTGTTAAATTAATTATTATCGAAGAAATATTTTTCAACAATTTTAAGACAAATTTTATTTATTTTTATTTTTTATTTTTTATTGACTTTGTTTATTTCTGTAATACAATTTATGTATTTTTTTCAATTAACAATTAATTTCTTCTGTGGAAACGTTTCTATGCATATTTGTATGATGTGTTTTACCCAAATTTGAATTTAAATAGGACTCTGATTTTGATTATTTTCTTGCGTCTGAGTTTCTGTATACAGTTATATTATTTTGAGTAAATTGTTAATAGGTCTTAGTAGTTACTATTGAAAATAAGTCCTAATACAATTGTTACTAAAAATAATTTTTTGTGACTATTTTTTTTATATATGCCATTAAGAATTTACAATTGCTGACTTTTTTGTCACGATTTTTATAAATTGTCGTTAAAATTTACAGTTAGTGGCATTTTTTTGTGACAAATTTTTCAAACTATGATTGCAAGTTGAAAATTGACGTTTTTTTGTGACGATTTTTTTGAAGGACACTGTTTAAAAGTATAAATTATAATTTTGTTTGACCAAAGATTTAAACGTTGAAACACTTTGTACAATACGACAATCTCAAACAAAATGACCAAATGCCCTATATATATATATATATATATATATGACATACACACACAGTCCATAAAAATCAAGGTAACGTTTGGTAGAATTTTCTAAATATGATTTGAGAATAGAGTTGTATTTTGAGTTTGTGAGTTTTGAAATTATGATTTGAGTATAGAAAATTTGTTTGGTTATAAGTTTTGAAAAGAGTTTTGAATTGAGTTTTGAGTTGAGTGTTGAATTGAGTGTAGAGTTTTCAAAACTTAATTCAAATTGTTATAACTCATAACCAAAAACATTACTCAAAATTCTATCGAAAATTCTGATCAATAAGCAAACTCTTTTTAAAATTCAATTAAAAAAATTAATTATTAACAGAAAATAACATTAATCAATTTTTTTAATTGAAAATATTACAAAGGCAATAATTTTTTTTTCAAAATAAATTTTCAATTACTAATTTAAAATAACTTTTGATTGTATATTTGGTTCGAATTTTTTTAAAATATTTTTTATATTTTTAGTAATTATTGTCACAAATTATTTGCTATTTATTGTATTGTTATTTTCAAATAAATGGCCGAAAAATTTATCAGGTATTATCTATGTGGGAGTCTAACAAAGATTAAAATATTATTTTGTTAGCATCTACACAGTTTACTACACACAATTCAATTTTATTCAAATTTTTTTATTCGCTTTTAACAGAAAATTAGTCTACAATAATACAAACACATGTATGTATGTATGAAAGAGTTACCAAAAAAAAAAAAAAAAAACCCCTTGTAGTGCTCAATCGGCCGAACGTCCGGGATGTTCCATAGACTCAAAAAATTCGAAAACTGTATGAAAATGTGAGAGTTTTGCATTGAAAATTTGTTTTGAAATGAACTCTGTCAAACGTGAAACAGAAATGTATTTTAAAATGTGTAATGAAATTAATTTTTGAAAATTGTAATTGAAAAGTAGCAAACACAGCCCAAAACTCTCTCTTCGTCTCTCTCTCTTTCTCTCCGTCTCCCCTAACTTCGCAGCCTACCGTATTGCCTCACTGTTGCTGCCAACAACCTCCATGGTACGGTTGTTGCTCTCTATCGCTGGTATGGCTCTGCCGATGCGCAGAGATCTAGAAAACCCTTTATCGCCGCCATCGTCGTCTTCGATCTCCTCCTCCGCTACCCCTCCGACACCTCTGGTTCGATCGCAGACCACAGATCCGCTGACGATCTAAACCCTAGCTGTGCTGTCATCTTTGATCTCTTGTACCGATCTATCTCCATCTTTGTTGACCAGATCTACTTCGCCGACTCTTGCTTTTTGCATTTCTATAATTTATTATTATTGTTCGTTTTTTAATCACATATGTGTATGCTTATCATTAACATTTGTTGATGTTTCAGATCTTCCACATAGGGATTGTTAGAGCGACTTCTCTAGGGTTTTTCGCTATCGACAAACAGTGTGACCACCACCGAGGGAAAGGAGGTCTACAACTTGCCAAATCTGATATATTTATTATATTTATATATAAAGGATGGTTGAATCTGAGGATGCTATTTGTTAGATCTGTTCTGGCGTCTTACGGCAGCGGCGCCGTAGGCGGTGGTGGGTTTGGAGTAAACTCAAGTTGGTCGAACGAGTTTTCACTCAAAGAGAAAACAAAGACAAAACGAGCATAGCCTATGATCTCGTCGAGTAAATGCAGTATCTGTATGTTATATTTCGACATAGTGATCCTTGGATTTGGATTTGGGTTGTCCATGGTAATCTTTGGATTTATGTGTGTGTGTGTGTGTGTTTTTTTTTTTCTGATCTCTAATCAATACATTTATTTGTCTTTGTGTGTGTGTGGATGTTGATCTATGTGTTATTGTTGATCTGTATATGATATGTGTTATTGTTGATATGTCTGTCTTTGTGTGTGTGTGTGTGTGTGTGTGTGTGTGTGTGTGTGTGTGACTTTGTTGTTGTTCTTCTGGTTGATTGGAACATCTTAAAAAAAAAAAAAAAGAAGATTTTGACAGATAGAGAGACAGATAGGGTGAGTTCAACAAATAGATAAAAAAATTCAACAGATGAAAGAAGTTTGGGAAAATTTAAACAGATAGATCGACCGTTGTATTTTTTAAATAGATAGAGAAAGAACCCACAGAACGAATTTAGATTAAAAAAACAAACAACTATAAAATTTAAACAGACATTTGAACAGATAAGGAGAAAATTTCTAATAGATAGTCAAAAAAATTTAACAAATAATTAAAAATTTGAATAGATAAATAAAAATTTGAACAAATAAATGAAAAAATTGAACAAATAGAAAATAATTTGAATAGATAATAAAAAAAAGTCATCGGATAAAAAAAGTCAATAGATAAATTAATGGTTAAAATTCGAAACAAAATGTCCTTCAAGACAAATAAAAGGGCCTTTTACCAAATTATTTTACAAATGGTGGATTTCTCACTAATAAAAAATATTCACCGGACATCCACTAGACCTAAGGTCTTAGACACTCTCCAAATTGGATTTATCACCAAATTTTTTTTTTTAAACTGTTGCTAAAATTTATAATTAGTAACATTTTTTGTGACAATTTTTAAACTGTTGTTGAAAATAAACAATTAGTGATTTTTTTTAAAATTTATAATATATTATAAAAAATGTCATTAATTATCATAGAATTTATTGGATAATAAGTCTACTTAAAAAGACCTACACGTAAGTCTCCCCATTATTTTTTGATTACTGCAAATAATAATTGTTGGTTTACCCCAATTTGTATTTGGGTAGGATTCTTTTTTTGGTTTCTTGCATAAGAGTTTCTTTTTTGTACATTGCTAATAGAAATTTTTTGTATACCCAAATTTGAGTTGTTGTAGAACTCTTATTCCTGTTTGAAAACAAATAATTCTGCAAATTGGAAGTTTTACCCAGATTCTAATTCGAGTAAAGATAATATTTCTTGTTGTCCTAATATATCTTTTTCCAGTACAATCATATTTTTCCAGAATACAGTTAATAATTAATATATTAATTGTTTACTTGTTTAATTTATTTTACTACATGATATCTGTTTAATTAAATTTATTTTATTAAAAATGGCAACTGACAGTATTGTTAATGCTTCTAACCCCTTGTGCCTACGCTGGTGGTTCCTTTTCCGGTGGTTACTGTGGCTCATGGCTCAGGATATGGGCTCGTTAGGTAGAGCTGTGAGAAAGTGATTATAAATTATAACTTAATAGATTATAACTTACAGCTGTGAATATAAGCTGATAATCTGTTTCGTGTAGCTGTGAAATTATGGATTTAAGCAACAGAATATTATTTGGTAAATAAACTGTAAAATATCTTTTTGCTGTATAATTGTCATTGTTACCCTTATAAGATATAAAATTTGTGATTTCATTTATAATACATTTTTTTTTCATTTTTTTTTTATTTTCTTTTCTTTTTCACCTTATTTTCTTTTCTTTTTTATTTTTTTTCTTCTCTTCTTTCTTTGTTAATTTTGTTTAATTTATTAATTCATTAAAATTAATATTCATGTTCTAATTTATATTAATGCTGTGATTTCATTACATATTATTTTTTATATATTCATTTTAATTATTTATGAAAATCCTAAGTGATTCGTGATTAGATCAAGATTAAAATATTTCAAATCCCAATTATTCAAAACACACAATCTAAATCATCAAACACTTACGAAAGTGCTTTAGATTGTTGTTTTTCGGAATAAACAATAAATTGACACAAACGATTTTTACATGGAAAAATCACAATTGAAGAACCTTCAATTGTAATAAAAAACCACGGGCGAAACGCCACTAATCAATCCATTACTGAATAAAGAAAGATTACAAAGATAGTACACAAATTACCCAACTCAGTCAATTTGTCTTCACACCTTCTGTAACTCTTTCACCAAGCCTTCGTCTCGGAACTGGTCAACCTGAAGTTGAATCCACAACTTCACTTGTCGAATTAACGACTATGTACAGAATCAAACGCCTTTTGAAACTCTACGTTTGAATCTTCGGAATCCACCGAAGAATAACTCTCTTGATTATGAAGAACCAAACACCTTGATATTTGTATCTTAGATCATAGGTTACAAACCTTCTCAAAAAAACCAAGGAAAAACTCACCAAAATCTCCAGAAGAAAGCTTCAAACAAAACCCTAAAAAACCTTGAACAAGATCTAGGAGAAGTAATCCTAAAGTTGACCCAACATACGAATATATAGAATCTGAGATCGCGTGGTCCGCTCGAGCGTAGGATTTCCCGCTCGAGCGGAGACTGCATATTCTGTGATTCATATAAGGTCCACGCTCGAGCGGATGTTTCCACGCTCGAGCGTCGAATCACACCATCCAGTATATTTGCAAGCTTGACAGAGATGCTGTGAGTGAGAAAACCCCGCTTGAGCGTCACTTTCCCCGCTCGAGCGGGAAGACCAAAACTGGAAAATTAAAACATGTTACAACCTTGGTTTTGATCCATGGATTTTGACAATAAAGGGTATTAACAATCTCCCCCTTTGTCAAATCCTGGACAAAACCATTCTAAAACAATTTTCCTAACAAAATCACTAAACCAGTTTTCCTAACAAAAACACAAAAACAAGACTAACAATACCAACAACTATGAGCCAACATTAACATCCATGAAAATCTGAAATCCAAGCTTTTGAACAATCACCCTGAAAGAGAAACAACCACACATTACCAACCAAAATCTGTGGAACTGTATTAAAGAACAAAATATAAATCCATCCATTAAAAAGAAAAACAGTTATCCAAGAAATATATCCAACATATCCAACTATACCAATCAGCTATCCAACTGTACCAAGGAAGGATATAAACCAAAGTAAAACTACTGTACCATCAATGTAAACCAAAAACAACTGTACCATCTGAACTTAAAATCAATACCACTCCCCTTTTTTGTCCGGGAGGGATCAAAAAACAAGAGAAACAGACCAGAACAACAAAGATCATGGAGCAGGAGGCTGGGATTGCATCTGAAGTAAAGACAAAATCTGAGCCAGCTGAGTAGAAGACTGAGCCACAGATGCCTCGATGCGCTGGGAAGAAGCCTCCAAGGCACTAAACCGAGTATCAGCTGTGGTCTCAAGATCTGTGAGCCTGGCCTCAAAGATATTCATCCGCCCCTTGAGGTGGTCAAACCGGGAAGCAACAGATCTCTCAAAGAACTGAAGCTGACCACGAACCGTACGAACTGGAGGAGGCTGCTCCCCCTTACCAATCTCCGCCAGCAGCAGCAGCATCATACTGTAGACACCCCATTTTTGACCGACCTTAAGACTCAGACGTCACTGATTGAGCGCTTGGTGATGTTGCATAATGTGCTCGTTCAGAAGTTTCAGAGTTGTGGCCGTGAGCCCTGCCTCCGGACTTTCGAACCCTCTTTTGTACCTTGCCTCGGTTTGCGAACCAAGCTCGATTTTCTTGGTTTCTTTTCCTGAGGGAAGAGAGAGGTCCCGTAGACCATCTCTCAATGTCCGTAGGCTACATTTCGTGGTCGTAGGCCATTTTGCCCATTTCGGAGTCCGGTTCCCGATTTTCTTTCGGAGCCGTCAGGCTGTGTGCCTCGGTTCGGGACCGCTTAACCATCTCCATTTGCTCTGATTTTTGGCATACATCTTATTTTCTCCCTTTTGAGGGACACTGGGGTCTGAGAAACCCACTTCGTGGTCGAACGCCACTTTCGGTGCTTAACAGCCCATTTTTGGGATCCCGAACTGCGTGTTTTCGCCCCCGAACATTCGTTTTGCATCGGTTTTTGTTCATTTTTGGCAGGTACCTCTGTTTTATCACCGGGGAGGTCACTGAAGGGTGGAAGGCCAGTAATTGTTGCAGCAACCAGTTATATATCCTCCGACGCCCTCCGGCGCCCGTTTTTCACACTTCCGGGCTAATGTTGAATACCTTGGGGCCACATTCTTGAACTCTCAACCACATATTTGTGATGTACACACTTGGGAGGACCCTAAAATTTGGTGGCCGGCCAGTAATTCCACCTGACCCTTTTGAACCCCTCCTTCCGGGCTAATGTTGAACACCTTGGACATGGCCGGCCACTAATGTTTCTTGACCCTTTTGAACCCCTCCTTCCGAGCCAATGTTGAACACCCTTGGGCCACTTTCTTGAACTTTGAACCACATATTTGTGTTGTACACACATGGGAGGACCCTAAAAGTTTATGGCCGGCCATTAATTCCATTTGAACCTTTTGAACCCCTCCTCAAAATGGCTTGTTCTCTCTCCTGTTTTAGAGTTTCCAAATTCGAACCACAGGGTTGTGAAGAGGAGACCTGGGAGGCCACCAATATGTGGTGGCCGGCCACTATTTCAACTTGACCCTTTTGACCCCTAGCTGGCCGGCTAGGGGGGGTGGCCGGCCGGCCACCTGCAGCAAAAGTAAGGGGCCGGCCATGTTCCTCATGCTTGGTACTTTACAGCTGTGCAGCTGTTTCCCCCAGAAAATATCTCAATCCGGGGGATATTTTGTAGGGGGAAGCTTACCTCCTTTTTGCCCCACCTTTACACCCTCCTTTTGGTCCTTATAACCAGCTGCCTTTGTTTATTTTGGGGGTTGGAAAAATTGTTCTTCAAGCCTCAAGATCTATATCTCCCTCCATCCTTCTCATTTTCCTAAAAAACCTTAAGTCCTACACCTTGTGTTCTTCATTACCACCAAGCTCTACCATCACCACTTTATTTCCAGCAACAAGGAGGGCTTCTCAAAGGCTGAAGGAGCTGCAAATTGGTCCAAGAAGCAACAAAAGACTTGTCTCTAAATGTGAGT